TCCCTTTCCCCATGGTTGGCCCACTCTTGGAATTTTTCATGTTAATTAATGGGAAGTTGACCCATTAATTGTCTCTCATTATTTTCATTTTCAAAATTAGTTGGGAATTGAAAAAGCCACAACCCCTTCCCTTTCTCATTGGCTGTCCCACTCTTGGAACTCTTCATGTTAATTAATGTGAAGTTGACCCATTAATTGCGAAGTTCACTTTTCCCTCTCCTAAAACTACTTTTCCGTTTTCCAATTCCACTCTCTCCCATTCCCCTAAGCCCCACCACTCTAATTAACCTCTCACCATTCCTAATCTCTCCCAAATAGCAAAAACCATGGCCTCCCTCCTGTCACACCCTCGATGTATTGATGACTAGCGTAGGACTTCCATTTTTCAGACCTACTCCAAATTGAAAGATAAAAATTGCAAAGTCATCACCGATAGTGGCAGTTGCATCAATGTTGTCTCCTTTAGCTTAGTGACCCGCCTTGCCTTTTTTGCTGTTCCCCACCCCAGTCTATATAAGGTAGCTTGGGTCAATTCCACTGCCTTGGAGGTGAAAGAACGAAACCTTATACCCATATCCTTTTCCGATTATAAGGAGAGTTCTTATGGATGTGGGTTAGGTTATATTGGGCCGCCTCTGGCTTTTTGGTAACGATGTCCACATTTATGGTTGTTCAAACATCTGTGTGTTTGAACATGGCGGCAAGAAGATCAAGCTCTTGCCTAGTCAGCCAAAGTCTAAGGATGAACCTAAATCCAATCATGTGAAACCTAGTAAAGGGTTCAACCTTGTATCTGCCAAGATTATTGATTCTTGTGCGGCCCAAGGGGCGCCCCTTTATGCCTTAGTGGGTCGTGAGGTTACTGAGGAGCCTGATAGGCCCATTCCTTAGGAGGTCCAGCCCATCTTTCTTGACTTTTCTGATATTTTTCCTGAGGACCTTCTTAACCAGTTACCACCTTTGAGGGATATACAACATGCCATTTACCTTGTCCCAGGTGCTTCCCTCCCCAACTTGCCTCATTACCGTATGAATCCCATTGAGGTTGATGAATCACACCATTGGCCTGAGTCCTGCTGAGATTATTTATGGGTACAAGCCTATCCAACCGTTATATCTTATCCATATGTGTCCTAGGTATAGAGTATCTGAGTCTGCATTTACATTTGCATCATATTTGCATGACTTACATGAAGAAATTACAACCCGAATTGAACAAAATAATGCAAGCTACAAAATTCATGCGGATCTTAAAAAAAGATTTAAAACATTTGAGGTGGGTGATTCTGTGATGGTTCATATTCATCCCGAGCGGTTCCCAAAAGGAACTATTAAGAAATTGCATGTCAAACGTAAGGTGATAAAGAAAATCAATGATAATGCTTACGTGTTGGATCTGTCTGCAGATTTTGGCATTAGTACCTTCTTTAACATTGAGAATTTAGCAGCCTACGAGAGACCAAATTTTAACCCACCCAATCCACTATATTATGAGCCTTGTGTGATCCCACCTTGTGAGCGCCCTAGCCTACCTCCACTTTCCAATTTACCCAAATCACCCAATGCGGATAAGATTGACATGATCTTAAGTGATGAAATCATTTCCACAAAGGAAGGCAGACTAACAAGATATCTAGTCAAGTGGAGAGGTAAGCCAAAGACTGAGAATACTTGGCTAGATCGTGAGGAACTGTAGAAGATTGATCCAAATATGTTGGAGTTGTATAAGAGTTCACATGGCGCCTACTCGACGCGGTCAAGATCTCTCCCATCTTGGGAGAATGATGGTGACATCAATGCATGGAAGTTTTATCATAGAAGGGGCTGTAGATCGACGATCACGATTGAGTTGTTATATTATTAATTGTATGTGTGTTGTATGTGATTTAATTTAGTTTGTGAACTTTTCCTTGATGTTATGTTGTAAGCCCAAGGGCATTTGTGAACTTTTTTGTAATGTTATGTTGTAAGCCCAAGTGCATTTGTGTCTTTTGTCTTGTCATGTGATGAAGCCTATATATATGGCTCTCTCCCCCTTATAAGGATGATGATTATTGTTGAATGAAATCTGATTTCAGCCCTCTTCTCTTGTGTGAGAGTGAGTGTGGTGGAGTGGTGAAGCCTTAGGAGAAGACAAATGATTTGTTACTATTAAAAAAAATTATGATTTTTTTGTAGAAGATTGCTTTTGTAAAAAACGATTCATTTAATACTATGCTATAAAACTATTGATACATCAAACATTTCTAACTTATGTTTTAATGTAGTTCAGTAGCGTGAAATGCAAAAAATAATTGTTTTTGATCGATATGTGAAATTCATGTGCTATTTGTTGGAAAACTCTTTGAAAGAAAATGATAATAAATCTTAATACTTTATTTTAGATAGATTTTTTAATGCATCTGTGGCAGGGAAAACAATCAGCAAAATGCAAAGTATATTTGGATGAAAAAAGTCTACATATTTTCATGATATTTGCTTTAGAAAAGCTACTTTTGAGAAAGCATAATAGAAACTACGGTCGAGAAAAAAGATGCTAGCAAATTTTGATAGCAAAAATAGGAAAGCATCAGCCGCCCCAAATGAAGCCTAAATTTTCCACTTCACCCAAACTGATGAACAAAGTTAAGTATTTAACGTTTATTTGAGAGATTTGTTGTGTTGTTTGAGAAAAAATTATGCATCTGATTGGGATTTGATATTGCTTATGGTTAATCTGTACACAGTTTATTTTTCTATAGATATATTGGCTTGATTACATTGAAGGTTGTCAATGGATTTCGACCTAAAAGCTTCTAGATCTTTTTTTTAGTTTCTTATTGATTTTAGGCCTTATATGTTTACACAATCATTCACACAGTGCATTATAAATTTCCTAAGGATTTTCATAAACAAATTGCTCAATTGAAGTTTTTTTCTTGTGTTAATTAAGTTTAAGTTGAGTTTAAATCTAGTGATAGTTATGGTGCGTTAAAATTCAAAAAGAATTTCATCAGATATGTTTTAGAAATTAAATGAGGTAAAGGAAGGGCCATTCAAAATCTTGAAGCGCATTGGAATTAATGCATACAAATTACAAATTCTAGTAAAATCTAACATTACTCTTGTTTTAAATAATACGATTTGACTTTATTTCATGAATATGTTGTTAATTCTTTGAATTTTTCTCTCTTTCGACCTCGTGTGAATAGGGGTCTATATTCAGTTGGTTTGGAATGGATTGTCTAAACCAATTGGTTTTGAATTTAAAATCCAATCTACCAAACTAATCAAACTATTAGTATAATCGAACTACGTTTAAGTTTGGTTAATTTGGTTTGGATTGTGATTAACCAAAAATAGAGACACCTTAGTTATATTTAATTAAAGTAGAAATTGCTGACCATGGTTTGACTATGTAGAATGTATAGTTCTTGAATTGCATATTGATTTATTAATTGTATTAATCACATACAAAACTATATATAAGTATAAAATAAGTATCCACATTGTATAAAACATTACTTTAACCAGATGAAGTAAATTGTTCTATTGATAAAACATTAAAACATTAGATAAATACCCAATACCCAACTAACTCACATTGCATTTGATTTTAATGATACATTTGAATTAAAATATACAAGAGGTGAGTAGTCATTTAAATTAGCCAATAATATAAAATAATTTAAATGATTATGAGCGATGGGTGTTTGAAATGGGCTTTTAGATCTAATAATTGAATGGTTATAAAGATGGAATGGATGATATTGAAGATTTAATTATTTCAATTAGATACATGGTGCAAAATTTAGTAGTTTATTACACTTTTTTTAAAATAATTTATTTCTGATGAATTTTGAACTTGGAATATAATAGAACTTGGATATTTATATTTCCCTTATTTTAGTGTGATGATTAACATTGCATATCTTAAAAAATATGCAAGTTCTATTATAAGGATTCACGAAGTTCTTTGGCGGTGAGCGAGATCCCATCTTGGAGGCGAAGATGGTTACCTAAGCAACGAACGAGCACTTGTCGTGACTTCCGATTCGACACCTTCGAATGAGACGAAGAAGCTACTTTAGCGACTCTATCAAAAACAATTTCTCGTGAAGCCAAAGTAGCCACGAAGAAATGATGAAGAGGAAAAGCGACAGCAATGAAGCACGGGAAGAAGATGAAAAACAAACCTAGGCAGTCTCCTAAATTAAAAATTAATCTAAGTTAACGTTATTAATATAATTCAAATATTAATAATTAATTAGATTAATTAAATAATTAGTAGTGTAATTAAGTAATCTAATTTAGCTTAACTAATTAATTAGTAGTATAATTGGTCATTAAATTAGTTTAATTAATATAATTTAAAATAAAAATAGTTAATTACATACTTAATATTGTAAATAATAATTAAATAATTAATTAGTAGTTGAATATTTAAGTGATCAATGAGATAATTAATAATTAAAACAAATTAAATAACATAAATAAAATCAGTTAAAAAATTTCTATTTTCAAATTATAATTAACAAATTAATTAGGTTTTAAAAAAATAATTAGATAATCAGTAATATAATAAGTAATTTGATAATTAACATCTAAATAACTAATTTGATAATTTCTAATAATTACATTAGGTCATAATTATATTATTTATCATTATAACTTATTAAAGATAATCAAAATTAAAGTTAATAAGTAACTCATGCTTAACGTGCAAATTAATTTCAAAATACATAAAATTTAATTTATAAATGAATCAACCATCTTATATCCTGGATTATGTTGCCAAACAATTTCTCAGGATTTAACATATGTAATGCCAAATTGTTTTCAGGATTTAACCCCCTTAGGATTTACTAAATCCGGATTTACAGGATTTTCTAAATCCGGATTTACTAAATCTCACTAAAGTTAAATCCTACTTGTCGCCAAACAGCCCATTAACTTTCTTTTAGGTGGGATTATAAGGAGGCACATAAATGTTTGTATTTTTTGTCGTTTGTCTCTATCAGGTTCGTTTCACTGTTTTAAGGGATTGTCTGCCCTTACCAGAGGAGAAGTTTAAAGCAGCAATAAAGGAAAACTATGTAAGAAACAAGTTTGATTGCCAGCTTTCAGCAGAGCAGGTTAGCTATGTTTGCATTTAACTGTCCATTCCCTCCCCCCTCCTAAAAAAAAAAAACTTTTCCAAATATTGTTTGTATATTATTTATAGGAGTGTTGCATTACTCATTCCCAGATATTGCTGTGCAGGTGAGAAAATTATGCAAGTTATTTCAGAATCCAACAAGCGGCGTCTCAATTCAAAAGCACAGGCCTAGAGCTGGCAGAGAACTGAAGCATAGGCATGAGAGGAGAGAAGCTTACCCATTACCACCTCCTCGAGTTCTTCGTCTATCTCCGCCGCCTCGAGCTTTGCCTCTGCATACAATTCCTCGACCATTGCCTGCTCCACCACTACCACCCTATACTTACGAACGACCTGTTGATGACTACTTTTACAGGGGAGAGCGTCACAGAGTTTTGGATTTAGAAATGAGGCCAAGGGATCTTCCTACAATAGACTACCATGATCCCTATAACCCCTACAGGGAGCATGTTCTATATCGCGAACCAGCTTATCCCCCAAGCTTTTCTGCTGCATATGCTGCTCGCCTTCGTGAACCACGTACTCCACCCAGGTACCTTTACTGAGAAAGCGAAGTTTGGTGGCTGATTCTGATACCACTTGGCATTTTTATTAAGTAAGAATTATCCATCTTTATGTACTTTTTGAGACTATTACTTTCTTCTGCCGAAATATTAACTCTGATCATTTTCGTAGCTCTTCAATTTAGATGTCTGTAAGCGTAGTGAGAGTTGTGGGGAGTATTTTATATCTATATATATGTTTTGCAACATTAGCATATCGTTGTAATCGTTTTATATGCATTAGAAATGACTAGATTGTCGCTGTTGCTTTCCTCGTGTTCTTTTATCCTGATAGTAACACACTGCGGTGGAATGTTGATGGTATTCTGTGGCTGTTTTGTGTATAGACGCTTGGGACTTATTAGGTAATAGTTGATGCAAATTGGTCTCACCATTCTTGTTGTTACCTTATTGGACGGCACTTGAGAGATACCACCTTTTTGTCATAATGATGATGAATGGGTGGTTTCTCTTTGGAAATAGTTAATTTTGACACAAATTAGTATTAGCATAGTTTTAAGGCAAACGTAAAGCTAGGTGTTGTTTGTATTGGGGTAGTCTATCATGATGGTCTGAGGCCGTATAACAAGAGTGAAGTTTAATAGTCCTTCGTTGCTCGGGCATGCTCATGAAAGGATTAATTATTCGGTGTGGATATTTAACATTGTTTTGAGATCAATAATAATGAATTATGCCATCTCTTGTTTGGTACCGTGGCTTTGTACTGTTTTGGTACATTCTGATTACTCTCCGGATTGTGTTATGCATCCAATCTCCGCACAGAATAATCTCTCATGAAGGGTTCGTAAGTTTTGATAATCGAGTCCTCCCAAGCGCACTCCTAATCGATCCTCATTAGGTTGTTTGCTCTGGTGGATCTTTTTTCTCCAAGCTTATCTTTTTTAATAATATTCCTGGTATATATTTACAATGATTGATTTTATTAATGCATTTGAGTTGAATTGATTGGCAAACAAGTGCTAGCCTGCTAGGCTTGACTTGGGTGGTAGGCGGTTCTCTGTGATGATGATTTGTGGCGTCATTAAAAATATATTTGATTGCCAATCTAAATATATTATATCGCAGCTCTCAACATCACAAACATATCAATGGTAAGACATCTAAGTTTTGATAATCGAGTTGGAGGGTCACCTGAAAACTTTGATAATATCACATCATTTTTATATGGATATGTTATTCTCCTTGAGAGTAGCATTTTGTTGCTCATGCAACTATGTCCTACAAGTTAAAAATGATTCAAAAGCTTTTGATAATTTGTGCATGTATGGAGGTCCAGAATGGGCATCAGCATTATACTTAACCAAAGCTGGGGAACCCTTTTGGTCCTCTCTACAGGCAAACATGTTGCGCCAAGAATGTTGCCATCTTATGCATGAGCGAGACTCACATGCTGACTGGAAGAATGCCCAAGGCCAATAACATAAGGTGTACATAGCTCATTTTGATCTATTGGTTGGGTGCATTGACAATCAATCAAAAAATTTTGAGTTTGAGTCTTGTGTATATAATATATGTATGAATTTATTTTAATATATATATTAGAATTCATGCAATGTTGAATTTGCCATTTTCATGTAAAGTTGGAGAATATTTTGTGCGGACATCTGATAGTTTGGAGATCAACCATAATACGTTACGTCACCTGGTATCGAGCATCGGTACCGAGCAAAAAAGTGATGTGACACATTCTGGTTGATCTCCGGATGCCGTCCAGAGTCTGCACATAATAATTTTTCGTAAAATTGAGTATTAATTTGATCATTTTGAAAATTTCAAGTTTTAAGCTAAGCTTAATACACTACTCTTTGATCATTCTTCAAAGATCAAGTCAAGCTTTCACATATATGTTCATATTTGACTTGTTTAGAATTTTCAAAGAACGAATTTGCTTTTACATGATTGCCTTGAATTAACAAAGTATTTAGGCTTCGTTTGGGATGGCTTTTTTACTGCTTCTTGAAGCAGCTTTTTAATACAAAAAATTTAATTTTTATACTTAAAAGCTGCTTCAAAGAAACAGGAAAAAAGCTGTCCCAAACGAAACCTTAATTGAGCTAAGAAGACATGCTGATATGTGAATATGTATTAAATGAACTCTCACATGATTGTCATATTAATAATTAGTTTAAAAGTATAAATTAATAAGAATTTAATTAATTTGAAAAAACTAACGGTCAAAATTCATAATTTGCAAAACATGGTGGAGTTTTAAATCAATATGATCAATTAATTACTTTAAGAAATAAAAAGCTAAAAAAATCATTAATGTTTGCATGAATTAGAAGCATTCAAATTCATTATGAGAAAAAAAGTGGCTCAAAGTAACCAATATTTAATTGTAGAATAGCCAATAAATTTCCCTAGAAAGCTCTTGAGGATCATCGTAGCGAAAATTCTTTTTGTAAAAAAATATATATGTATTTAAACTTTTAAATAGTCAAAAATTATTTTGATAATTCATAAAGAATTAAATAATCATTTTAATCCTTAATCTGTTTATTATAGACATAAAAAAAAAAAAAGTTTGCAATGAATATATTGATGACTTGCCTATGTAGCGAGAATAGGCGTTCAGATGGTGGGAAGTGATGCGATAATTAATGATTGTAGTATGCGCTGTTGATAACCCCACCATTATAGTTAAAATGATGATATACGATGAGAGCACAGCACAGCAAGCATCATCATGAAATTAGAAAAAAACTATTTTCATCATATAAATATTTTGTTAAATTAGAAGGAAAATGCCTTTTTTTTTTAATATAGATCATTTTATGAGTATAAATCATTATTCAAAATGATACTCATAATTATGATCAATGCATGACTGTTGCGTCCAGGAGTATTCGCGACGATAGAGAAATATGATTTAACGTCTTAGCGTTGTACGAAAATCCGGCACGCAATCAGATAAGAGAAAGGGTCTAGCATTTATGAGACACCAAGATTTTTACGTGGAAAACCCCTGAAAAGGGGGAAAATCCACGGGGCCTAGTCCAGTTTGAATGAATCCACTAGTATTGCAGTCGATTACAAATGAGGCCCTTCCTTGGGAGAAGGCCTTAGCTTGATGTACATTTTATAGAGTACGTTACATGATATGAATACAAAGAATCACTATTGACATGTTCGTTTGGTCGGGAGGACCGTAGTCGGTGGGCGACGTAGGTCGGAAGGGATGTAATCGGCGGGCGACATAAGTCAGGAGGATCATAGTCGGCGGGGGACGTAAGTCAGGAGGACCGTAGTCGACGGGCGACAGAGGTCCTAAAGACTGTAGTCTGACGATGAAGATCAGAAGGACAGCGTCAGGTAGAAGTCCAACAATGAAAAGAAATCCATCTTCACGTAGACGTCCAGCGAAGTCCGATAACCGGTAGAACTCCGGCATCGGGAAGAAACTTGGCGAAGAGTGAAGGTCCGACGTCGGGCAGAAGTCCGACGTCTGTTGAAGGCAGAGAAGAAATCCGGCTTCACTTGGGCGGAGTTTCGGCGTCAAGAGGGAACTCTGCTGTAAATTGGGAAGAATTTCCGCATCCCATGGAAGTTAGGCAGAATTCTGGCGTTCTCCCGAATATCCGGCAGAGTTCCGGCGTCTTCAGGCAGTGGGAAGAGCTCCGGCGGTGGCGAGGAGGAGCTTCTTCCTTCTCCTCCTTCTCTTCTTCTTCTCTCTCTTCACTTGAGTCCCCTTTGTGTAGAATGAGGGCTCTATTTATAGTTTTTTTGGAGTGGCATAGCCCGTAAATAGGCGTGAGATCAGGGGCGAATTGGGAGTGGTTTGAATGGACGGCCGATATCGAATCCTTTGATCATGCACTGTTCGTTGGGCCTTTGAAGGCCTTCATGATGTCAGAATTAGGCGATCTTTGGCTCGTTGAATTCGTCTCGTCGAGCCGCTCGATTCGAGTATAAGTTCGTTAAAATCGGAGACCGTTTGGTAACTCAAATTGCGGTTTGAACCTTACAACAGCGCTTCAGGTACTTGATTCGGACCCATTTGGGCTCGGATTAGGTTGAATTTGGTGTCGTTGGGTTCGTATTTCCTAGACGCTCAGTTTGACTGTAAGTTTGCTGAAATCGGAATTCAGGTGCTTCCGAATTTAATTTTTGAAGTTTCCGGTTTGGGTTTTGTCTTGAGATTCGTGCCCGATCAAGATAATTTCATGATGATCCTCGCTTAGGTTTTTTGTTTTTTTGCTATTTTTAAAACAGTTTTTTAGTATAAAAATAAAAAAGATGTTTTAAGTAGTAAGAATGCCGTTCCAAACGAAGTCTTAGTCCTCTCAGGAACAAAAATGATCTAAAATTGCTCCCCGTAAGCTATTCTTAGTTAATCCCTCCAGGCTTGTGATTACTCTGGCCACTAAGTTGATTTTCAATCGAACACAAAACTAGAGTTTGATGTTCGAAAGCTGCTCAACCTGAATATAAAAATTAGTACTATTCTCATGGTGTGAACAGTGCGATATCAATATTGATGTCACACTGTTCACAAAATCGAGAAAGAATATACCCGTAATAATATTTTTTTTATGTTATAAAATATAATTCAGTTGGATGCCCAATGCTGGTTTAGACATGGCAGTTTAAGAGGATAGCGTCGTTAATGACTTGGATAAGCAACTTAATTAAACATCATCAAATGATGTGATTCCTCAACTCCTTCACATTTACTGGTGGCGCGAAGCCATCCCGCTTTCCCACACCTCGTTTGACCAACGAACCCGATCTTGCACCACGTGGAAAGATAATCGGATCCCGGCGACGGCGACAGCCCACCGGCGACTCACAGCTCCACCGCTCCCTCTCTACACCACTACATGCCACGTGTGCATTGACTTCTGATCTGACCTTCGAAGTGCTGACGTGTAGGCCGTGGTTCCGTGACTATAAGTGGGTCAGTTTTGGGGTTCACTGTCGTGGTGGCGTTGTAAATTGTCTCACGGGCTTTACAGGTGGTTGATTATTCGGAGCTGACTCTTGCATTGGAATTCCGACCTTTCGCGTTCGCAAAAAAATTTCTTCTTCGCATCTTCAACGGCTTTGTTCACTGTCTCTTCTACATTCTCACCAACATTTACATCTTTACTGTATATCCGCTTTCTCCAGCTCATCTGATTTCAGGAATAGCACTCCCTTTACGATGGATTATAGTTTGCCATCGCTTTTAACTTCTTCTTCCCATTGCCTTCCGTTGACTACTAAGGCTTCGTTTAGGACGGTTTTTTTATTGCTAAAACGGAATTTTAGTACAAAAATAAAAAATTTTGTACTAAAACTCCGTTTTAAAAAGCAGTAAAAAAGCCATCTCAAACAAAACCTAATTATCACACGGTGCTTTCATCGTCATGGCACTCAGTAGGAACAGAGGCCTGTTCTACATTCACCTTCAGAAATTTCCTAACTTTTTTTTTTTTTTGTTTCTTTGTTGGAAGAACTTTTACTGCTTCAACCTTCACCCAGGTCATCTGCCTTCTCATACAACCTAACCATAGCCGTTGAAAATTTATGCTGCCATTTCTGGCACAGAATTTTGGTTACGTTCTTCAGCATTTAGTTTACTTTCTTCGACCTTCTTTTAAACAATATAAGGTAATTTTGAACATTAATTTTCAGGTTGACCACCACTGTTAAGCAACTCCTTAGGGCATCTCCAACCGAAAATCTCATTTTTCACTCCAAAATGTCGTGAAACTAAAAAATGCCGTGATTCATCTCCAATCGAACATGATTTTGCCCCGTAACAGTTGTTCTCTTCTTTCACGTGTTTCTTTGGCAAGTTCAGTAGAGACCAAAAAATGACGAAGATGAACAGTGCAACGCAAATATTGACGTCGCACTGTTCATCCACGATGAAATAGCGTAAGAATTACTGCTCGGTTGAAACGACGGAAGAACAACAAACAACTCGTTCCATTGGGGATGCTCTTAGCCCAACCGAACTGAACCCGAATGCCAAATAAAAATGTTTTTTGTCTCTACTGTGAGCAATGAGACGCGAATATTACAGTAAGCACAGTTCAAAACGCTAAAATGCCGTTGGATTTACTTGCTTCTGCTCCAAATGCGTCAGCGAACAAAGAGAGACGAAGTTTGAGTACGGTGACGGCGCGTAGATTAAAAAGAAAAAAAAAAAGAACAATAAAGATTTACAGGTGGAGAGGGTGGGATAGGGTTGGTTTTGGTGGGTCTTTTGTTTGATTTTGGGTGGCTCGAGATGGACCCCATGGACTGGTAAGGCCCGGTTCCGTGATCTGTGGACCGATGAATGCGGGCTGGAAAATGGGCCCACGTTGAGTAGTTGTTATTCTTCCCATTCTTTATCTTTTGTGGAGAATAAATGATCCGAAATAATAGAATCGAGAGCCAATCTGGCGCGAAATTTTCAAACATATTTATCCATATTAGGGTGTCAATATTTAAAACGACATGAGAACCCGATCCGAAAAATCCGGGTTGAACCCGACCCGATTTCAAAACGGGTCGGGTTCGGGTTGACCCAACGGGTTGTCGGGTCAACCCACGAACCCATTTTAACCTAACCGCGTGCACCTGCCCCGCTGCCGCACGATCTCGCGCGACCCCACGCAACCCGGCCTCGCTGCTGCCGTGCGACGCCGCAACGCGACCCCGCCCTTCTTTCCTCTAATTTTTGACAAAATTATCATAATTGAGTAGCTTACTGTTAATGATGATTACTATTGATCAAGCATATTTGTATTTTATAAAAATAAATAAATTATAATTACAAAATAATTATTATACTTATCATATAAAAATATTTCTTTTTCATTTCTGTGAAATATAATCCTTAAAACATAAATGTAAAAAAAGATCAAAATGGTTCACAATTATATTAAATGACATTTTTATCACTAAATATTTTTTAAATAATTGAAATAATCCATGATTAGATTATTTTGATTCTTATTTAAGGAAATTATTTTTAATTATAATTGAGATTTTTTTATCTTTCCTAAAAAGTCAATGATCTATTTTGTTTATTTTCTTAAATATAAATTGAAATTTATAGAAATAAATTTATAAAAATAAGCTATCGAAAATAGTAAATTGTTTAGCATGATCTTATAATATTTTTAATAAACATAATATAATTGTCCTTGTGGTATCTTAATTTATCCTCTTTAAAAATAATTATTTAGATTTAAGGAAACTTTGAAAAAAAAAAGTCGTAGAATCTGGGCCGTCCGCGACGGCACAACTTGCGATGGAAGCAAAGCTGCGATTTCAAATCTCTCCAGTCTCCCCACGCTTTTTCCCATTGTCCCCCACCAGTCTCGGCGCCACATTCTCATGATCAGTAGCAATGGACTACCTGTAATACCCCCATGCTCCGAAGAAAATTACGAAAAATACTTTATACCGCCGGACTTTGCCCGCGAATCCGGGTTTTTCCATTTTCTGGCAAATCCGACCGCTGCTTCAGCATCGGACGGTGATGAGAAAAAGGAGAAGAACGTTGACAATGGCATTCGCGTAAATATCCGCAACAACAGCCCCGCGCGCGGGAATTTAACCTATCGTTTTTCTTCATTCATTTATTTATCTTAAGAAAAACGCCTCGCCTGCCCCTCCCGTGAAAAAAAGGTTTGCGTTTATTACACCCACTGCCACTTTCATGCCCTAACTCTCCTTAAGTAGCCCTACTTCCTTAACAATTTCTCCCCACATTCTCTGTGTAACCATTTGTTTCTACTCGTTCCTCTTCCAATAGTCAAAATGTCTCCCCTCAGCTCCGCCGCCGCAGCATTTGCCGTCGGATCCTTTTTCATAGCCCTAATTGCGCCGGCGGCAGCCCGCATTCCTGGCGTCTACATCGGCGGGACATGGAACCAGGCGCACGCAACATTTTATGGTGGAAGCGACGCCTCCGGCACCATGGGTGAGTCCACATTGTTTAATCCTATCCTTCCCGCTTCTGGATCCATGTTTTCTTGATGAGATCCAGGGTTTTACTGGGGGTTTTTGGATGCAGGCGGGGCGTGCGGCTACGGGAACCTTTACAGCCAGGGATACGGCGTGCAGACGGCAGCGCTTAGCACTGCACTGTTCGACAATGGTCAGAGCTGCGGAGCTTGTTTTGAGATCAAGTGTGCTGAAGATCCTCAATGGTGTCACGCAGGGAGCCCCTCCATCTTCGTTACGGCGACCAATTTCTGCCCCCCTAACTACGCTCTGCCCTCTGATAATGGCGGATGGTGCAACCCGCCACGTCCCCACTTTGATCTCGCCATGCCAATGTTCCTTAAGATCGCTGAGTACCGTGCCGGCATTGTTCCGGTGAACTTCCGCCGGTGAGCCCCATCTCTCTCGTCTCCTTGATTCCATGTTTTTTCTGTCTTGTTAGGTTTGTTTTAGCCGTTGGATTACCTTTTTTCTAGTCGATTGATCACTTATTCATGATGGTCCTGTTTATTCCGTTACGATAACACCCGCCGTTGCTTGCTATTCGATTTGTGTTATTGAACCGTCAGAATATTTAAAAAAAGATAATAATTAATGTAAATAACTGAAATCTCGCCCACCTTTTTCTTATTAATTTTCTTGACCTGCCATTTCATCTGCAATTATTTAACGCTCCTGTGTGTTTTAGGTAATGACAGAAATATATTTACTTTATTGTCCTAAACAATTATTTTTTATGACGGCTCAATAATTCAGGCCAAGAAATATTATCTGTATGATTTATGCGTTTTCAATCTGTCTATTTCTTTGATTTAGATTTAATCGTTAATTAATTAATTAATTAATTGACACATTTTTACCCCTATCATTTCCTAGTATAGTTAGTAGGAAATGATTGATTTAGATTGAATATTTAATTATGATTTATGCGTTTTTAATCTATTAAAAAAACTTAATGCTCATTTCAGACAGAATTTTTTCCTTTATCAACTTGATTACTTTATAAGTTGTTAGTTTTTTTGTTTTCAAATGCCAGAAGATAAAATAACATGATATTGTTAAGATCATCTCCAACGGAAAATCGCATTTTTCACTCCAAAATGCCGTGAAACTTAAAAATGCCGCGATTCATCTCCAATGGAACTCCATTTTGAGAAGATAACGATCTTTTTTTTCTTTCGCGCGATTCTTGTCAAGTTCGGTAGAGCAAGAAAAAAGGCGATGACGAACAGTTCAACGTCAATATTGGCATCCTATTGTTTACACGCATGAAAATAGCGAATGTTTCAGCGTTCGGCTGGAGCTCGAAGGCGACGGCATTCAAGCATTTGGAGTTCCGTTGGAGATGCAGTAAGGAGTTGGGAATCTGGGAAACTATTATGGAGTTTCCATGGCTATTAAGTGAGTTTCTTGGTTGCTTCTCTTTATTAACCGTACCAGCAGTAATGGTAGCTCTTCACACTATTTAGTGTCCTTTGGAAATTTGTAAGGGCACTTTGGTCAGACTGCTCGTATGGGCGTAACAGTAGGTAAACGCGTGCTCTGGTAAGGCTCGTGGCCCACACCCTTTCATATACTTAAATATTTTTGACATACAGGCCAATTAAATTAAATTCACATACATGCATAAAATTTTTATTCAAAAATTTTTAATTGATAATTAAAATTCTCACTCATATTCCTCAAATATTTGACATTTTCTTCTCTAATATATACCTAAAAATTTAATTTTTAATATATTTAATACTTTAAACTTTAAAGTGGTTCACACCTGCTAGGCTCAATGACGCAATGGCGGTTCGAGCATAGTAATTATGATTAATCTCGTTCAACCCACAATTGATTTGATCTGAAATGTAATCCAATTATTCCCAATATTGAGTTAAAATTGCCATCCCTAATGAATCGAATCAATCAGATTATGTTATCTTCGTTGATATATCACCCCATCCAATTATGTATTGTCCCATTTAAAATATTTAAATTTTGTTTTATTTAAATTTATTCGATAGTCAAAATGTAATCTTCACTAACTTTTTGTTATATCATCTTAATCGCTCAAAATGATAAATCTTACAGTTAAAACACGCTCTTTTCCGATGTGATGATCTGAATTGACCAGATGACGATTTTATTCTTTTGGAATTTTGATTTATTTAATGGCGAAACTATTTGGAATTTTGCAGGGTACCGTGCAGGAAGGCCGGGGGGATTCGTTTTACCATTAACGGGTTCAGATACTTCAACCTTGTGCTTATCACGAACGTGGCGGGCGCCGGCGACATCATTAGGGCTAGTGTGAAGGGTTCGAACACGGCGTGGATGCCAATGACCCGCAACTGGGGCCAGAACTGGCAATCCAACTCCGTCTTGGTTGGCCAATCACTCTCCTTCCGTGTCACCGGCAGCGATGGCCGCACCTCCACCTCCTGGAACATCGTCCCCGCCAATTGGCAGTTCGGCCAGACTTTTTCCGGCAAGAACTTCCACTTCTGATTTCCTCTTATTTGTCATGAACACTCCCCTCTTTGGTTTCCGTCTTTCTGTTTTTTTGTTTTTGGAAGTGAAGTGAGAGAGGTGGTGTTTCGTGTGAAAGGACACTCTTTTTTTGACTAATGGTTACTGGGTTAGAGAGAGACCAAGTAGTGTGATGGGTTTGCAGCGGCTGAAGTGGCTGCATATGCCGTAAAAAAGGGATTTTGTAGCCCGCAGCTGCCATAACTATCTTTTCTATGTTTTCCATCTATATATAAACATGCTAAAACTTATATATACTATATTGAATGTGTTTTTTTTTTCTTGTTTAGCTCTTCATTGGTCAAAAAGTTGGGCTTATATGTTTGACAAAGCCTTTAAGATGTTTAAAGATAGTTTTGTTATTTAATTTTTTGTTGAGCGTGCTCAGCTGTTGTGGCATTTGGTCGAGCGCCTGCCGTGCGTTGTGCTGGTGGTGGGACTACTGAAGCCTCGTTGATTGATACAGTTGTATCCGTCCTCTGAAAAAATGCAATAATTACGCTTAATTTCTAGGTTTAGGTTGCCGGGAAACATCATGGACTGCATGGGATTCAACTAATTAGTCCCTTGCCCCTTTCCAACTGTTTGACATCTGCCCCTTCAGCTATTTTTCTTGCTCGGTTTGTGAAAATGTCTAAACTAGCCGATTTTAGTTGGATCGATCTTTTGGTAAGATAATTAAATGTCTCGCATGCACGCAAAATAATGTGTCGTATGTACTTAGGACATCTCCAACCGAACTCCAAACACTTGAATGGCGTCGCTCATGAGCTCCAACGGAACGGTAAAACTTTCGTTATTTAATTGCGAGTGAACAATAGAACACCAACATTAATGTTGTACTATTCATCTCCGAACTTGTCGAAGAAATGCACCAAAGAAGAGAATGACCGCTACGTTCGCAAAAGGGGACAAAATGAAGTCCTGGAGATGAATCACGACATTTTTTAGACATTTAGAAGTGAAAAAAAATGAGATTTTTGGTTGGAGATGCCTTTAGATCTATATCAGATCTCCATTTTCCCTTTAAGTGATCGGCATGCAATGTTTTCTTTATTATCACTCTCCCCGTTCTTTCTTTATTGGGTCTTAATATATGTGGATTCTATGTATAGACATTGCGAGAAGAGGGCTTAAATGTAGGGCACATGTGGAGCATTGATAGTTAATGTAATATATGGGAGCCAGCTCAGAACGCAAGAACTCATGAGAGAAGAGAAAGGACAGATGGGTGGGTCTCATTGATCATGACCTTATACTACTGGAAACCACGAGAGTTCAATTGTTCTAGTTTCATTTTTTCGTTGTTTCAACATCAAACAAAGTGATTAATGTGTTTCCAGTTTATCCAATGTTGAACCCAGCCACATCAGAGCTATCTCATTCAACTGTACACGAATAGTTTTTATTTTTTATGTAATTGGTTGTGCTCATCCGCTGGCGTGTCCACACATGTCGGACCCATAATACGAATCAGATGTCCTACAAAATAGCAACGAAGCGCACGCATTAAAGATAATTTTTAGTTGCCGAGAAATTAAGAGGGAGGAGATGGGGCACGTGAGTCGTAGAAGAAAAGGTCTTAATTCTAGGAATTTTTATTAAGTCCCGTGTCCTGATATAGCTCTACGTTCCGACGTCAATAACATGTCGCCACGTGCTACTACTCTTTACCGCGCGGCCCGATTACCCGACCCGGACCGGAACCCGGTATTGCTATGTTCGTGTATTGCTAGGTATTGTTCGGTATTGCTCGGTATTGCTAAGTATTGTTTGACAATAACGAGAAATACCGCTCTATCAAGACCAACATCTAGCAATACCGAGCAATACCTAGCAATATCTAGCAAAACCAGGGTATTGCTCGGTATTGCTGGGTATTAGTCTTGACAGAATGGTATTTCTCGTTGCCGAGCAATACCTAGCAAGATCCCGGTCTGCACAAATCAACCAATACATAGCAATATCGGGTCCATATCCGGGTCGGGTCGTCGGCCGCGCGATAAAGAGTAGGAGCGCGTGGCACCATTTTACTGGCGTCCGAACGTAGAGATACGTTAGGACACCGGAAGTAATAAAAATTCTAATTCTAGAGAGGATTTGTAAATATATAATAATTGAACATTGAACATTCATCCAAGTCAAAATATCAATATTTATTAGAACAAGCATTAACAATTAACTCCCAAACAACTATTAGGAAAACTCTATTGGCTCTCTATGTTTTGCATTTCTCATCTATATCATTATTTTAATACATTTTTTAAAAATAGGAAAAAATACATTATTTATAATTCTTCATTCTTATTAATGAAATTATTTTAGCTATGTAAGACTCTTATAATTTTTACTCTAATAATTTATTGAAGAAATCTTATCTCTATTTTATTTTATTTTATTTTACTTATATATAAAATATTTAGATAATTCTAGTGAATGTTTCAAGCAATGCAATAATATTGATTTTGAAATATATTTATCATATCTGAAAAGTCACTAAATAGTCATTTGAAAATTTTAAATATATTCAATCAAAACCAATTGTTAAAAAAAATAGTGGGACTTTTATATCAAACTTCTAAGAGGTTGATCTTTTTTATCAATTAATTTATCCTCACGATATAATCTTTCTTTTTTTTAATAAATATAAATTCACACATATTATATGTACAAGCTTCGAATTCAAGAATTATAAACTGATTAATTAAATTCTCAACCAAAAAATTAAAATGAACTGCACAATATAATCCTTTTTACAGCACACTGATCCCACTAACTCGATTGACTTACCCCATTAATATCAGCCAGCCATGATTAATAGGTATTTTTGTAGATGGCTATTTATTGAATAGTTTGAATTTAGAAATATGAAAATGAATCTTAAATGATTGTAGCTTTGTACAGTTTGCAGCATTTAAATATGACATGGTGAAGAAATCCATTAAGATTTCTTCCTTACAACATTAAATTGAATGCTTAACATCATTGACGTACTCTGCATTATGAAAAAAAAAAAATACTTGAGCAATATAAAGGCCCATGAATCACGATTTTTATAGCAATATTGAATGATGTTATCAAATACTTCTATAATTTGATAATATTAACAAGCAAATTTTGTAAGAATCTTGATCCAAATCAATTTTTTCCTTGCAGCAATAGAAGTTGGGGAGGGTTGTCGTTTTAAATGGTTGCACTCACTAAACTCATCAATCTTTTGTAAAACATCTTCCAAAGAACCACTAGCATTATCTAGTTATTCGGAATCTCCGCGAACATCGACATGGTTGTGAGCTTGGATAAGAGCTCAAGCATTAGCGCGAGGAGCAACCTAAGCCTATGAACATTAATTCAAGCTTATCTTTCAATTTAGGACAAACACCACATCTAATTTTTTTTTGCGTTTGGAGCAACCTATAATTCATAATTCATCTATTCATTTTATAGAATAGAAATGTGTAATATAAAATTTAGAAGAGATATATGTAAATATGTATGAAATCAATATTAACCTCCAAGTTTTCTTATCACCAATCATCAGGTACATAAACATTCTTTCTTCTAAGATCTCAGCCTAATCTATTAGACTCTCGCATCAACTCCCTCCATAATTTTTAATCCTTTTTTAGTTTTATCTTATTCTCTTCTGATTCTTTCGTGAAAATTCTTCATTAAATTAATCGTCAAAGGATTGCCAAGTTCAATTTCTCTCAAACATAAATCACAAAAAAATATCTTTACATCGCGCTCCTATATTATAGATGCCCAACCATCCTTTGTCATACCATTTTACAGCCTACTTGTATTATAAATTAACGGTCAGTTTGGATCTATATATCACTCTAAAGGAAGCATCATATGAAATCTGTTAACTGAAAGACAGTGAACTGCACCAAATATTGCTTTGCAGGTCACTTAGAATTCTACTGAATATCTACAGGAGTGGTACATCTAACCTGCCTGTAGATGTTGTATTGCAGATCTGATAGCAGAGATGAGACCTCTAAGAGAACGAAATAAATTGAAGTCCTACATGGCTTCATGGCAATGATAATCAAAATAATTCCCAGCATTCCAAAGCAATCTACAACAACAACAAAGAAGCGATTGACATGTTTAGATTAAAAAGCATGGTTACAAGCATTGACCTCTCCAAAAGGCAGAGGAAACCGTCTTTCTGTTTTCCTCCTGCAATAAAGGGTTTGATAAATCGTTTTGACTGATATATATAGATTCTATATAATCTAATTCATGTGGAGAGCTGCAGTATTCTAAAGCAAGCAATTATACCAAGATTTTTAAAAGCATGATGAAAATTGTTCAAATATACAGCTCACATCTACAATAACAACAACAACATCAAGCCTTTAGCCACTACGTGGGGTCGGCTACATGAATCCTTTTCTCCATTATGTCATGTTAAAAGTTAAATTCTCAATTAAATTTAATAAAGAAAAATCCTTTCTAATAATAAATGGAAGCTGAAGTTAGGGGAAAGTTGAGTTCGTGGCATCAGTTTCAATCTAACAGGAAAAATAAGTTGATAGAGAAATTTAGGAGTAAAAAATATAACCTATCTCCCTAACTAGGCAACTCCAGTCACCACTGTTTCAGATAATTAGGCAACGAGATTGCATTTGAAAATAAATTATATAGTATATATGAAGCTAATAGTAACACAACTGAAAGTTTAGATATCAAGCCTCAACATATTCTAATATCACAACACTGAAGCACAGAAGCTGTTAAGCATGCAGGCAAGATAAGAATCGGATTAGTGATCTATTATGAGCATTATGAAAATGTGAAATTTACTTTATAAATAGTCCAACTGAATCCACTCTTCCCCAATGTTTATTATATAAAATTCTGCGAACACGTGTACATTCCACGTGTCATTATTTTATTGGTGTCCGGACCTATCTCTACGCCCGGTGACCGGACCTAATAATTTGCCCATACTAAGGGGTCAAATCCGCAACGTTGAAGGTCGTCGATGTGTTATAATCTCCTATTAGATCAAACTGATAGGCACTATTGTTAATCTTTTTTATGATTTGAAAAAAACCATCAGCTCATGATTTGAGCTTTCCAAATGGTCCTGTATAGAACTAGTCCTTTCTAAGTCACATCTCCTTCTTTGAAGAGCACCTCCCTCCTAGATTTATTGGTTTAAACTTAATATTTAGCATTTTGTTTGATGCTTGAACTTGCCGGTGTAATCATTTTGAATTTTAATGCTCCTCTGTTCTATGTCAGAATGATAGGCTGCTGCCAATAATTAAGGGATCAAATCGAGAGTTGAAATGGAATTACTCATTAATTACTTCAAAAGGACTTCGGTGTGTTGACTAATTTTGAGACCAATTAAAAGGAAATTCGAATTGAGCCAAAACCAAATTCCATTGTCAGATGTTCTTCCTCACTAAGCGTCATAATAAATTTCTCAAATTTTAATTGATCGTCTTCATTTTCCTGAAGTTGTATGTCAGCCTTCTATTTTTTTTGGTTGATGAGGAATCAGAGAACTTCTTGATTGAAGAATGGGATGAACTCACTACACAGTAAATAATGATTCCAACGATGCAGTGCATGGATTATCACATAAAATTCCTTGCCGTAGGCGCACTATTTTTGATGAGCATCACTCAACTTCTCACTAAAGAAAATTAAGGGATGTCTTCCTTAGATAACGACAACTCTGATACCAACATTAGAGGCATCGCACTCTATTATGAATACTTGGCTGAAATCAAGTAATGCATAGACCAAACGGAAGAAATCTATTGCCATTGTAGTCAAAGTTTTCAAGCAACTGTATTAGCTTTTATTAGGACAATTATAAGACATCATCAAAGTTCTTCCTAACACAATTATTGGTGAGAAGAAAAGCTCTTCCTGGATCCTGAACAGAGATCAATACAGGGAAGTAGACCTTATGTTGAACTAAAGATTGATGACAAAAGGTTGGTCTTCAAACTAGATTGAACCAAACATTGACGATGCAGAGTCTTCAGTTTAGCCGGATTGAAGATAATCGGCTCTTTCTCAACTCAAATTCTTTTGGTATTTCAAAAAAGTCATATTTTCTTTCTTTCTCTATAATCTAGGTGAGGTCAAAGCATATGTTATTTATGGGATCAAGCTCTAAACCTACTAATGGTAAATAAAATAAAATAAAAACACTGTAGCTAGTAAACCTCATTGGGAAAATATAGCCTTCTGTTTTTTGTGCCTTCTAGTTAACAACTTAAAGCCTTCAACAGCAGATAATTGGATCTCCAAACCAGCTCTAGGCACAACCAATTTCAGGTTTATATGAAGGATTGCAGCTCCATTTAGTAAGTGATTCTTATTGATGTTAGGATTAGATATCAAGGTCCCAGCATTAACAATTGCTCAAAAAAGCAAGATTTTAGTATTTACAAAAAAAGTCTCTCCATTTGGAATATAACCAAGCTTCTCATTGACTGTTGGGGATGAGGAGTAAAAACCACAACGACGAAACAAGCAAGAAAGTAAAAGCAACGAAAAAATAAACGACACCAGGATTTAACGTGGAAAAACCCAAAATAGGGAAAAAAACTATGAAGCCACACTACACCAAAAAATCCACTATGAAAATTGGGATAAATAAGTACAGATCTCTCTTTTCTCTTGCTCTCTCAGTGCTTCTCTTCTCACATGCATAGTTCTCTATCTAACTAATTTAAAATACAAGAGAAAGCCAAGTAAATAACCCTAAGGGACGCAACCCTTTAGAAAAATGAGAAAGAAAATCATCCAGTCCGTCTCGCACCACTGTCGCGTCAATTTGGGGCGCTGCGGCACTCAAACATTTGTCTTAATCCGATGTAGGGTCGTATCTATGCCGTTAAGGTGCTTTGCTCTATGTTGTTCAACACTAGGGCACTTGGGAACACAGCACCGTGGCGCTTGGGCACACAACGCCGGGATGTTGTACGGAAAAAAATTTCCATGGTGCAAAGCACCCCCCATCGAGCATAACAATTAAACAAAAACTATCATGAGTGTGATTTCCAACATACTTCAACCCTATCTTCTTAAGTTTCATGGGGCACTCCTTAATCCTTGAAGAAAACTTGATATTGTGAGATATAAATAACCTCCCTTTCATTGGTTTCAGCTTCAATTCCAACATCTCCAAACCCACCCACAGAAGCTGACCAGGAATGTGAAGACAAACTGCACCGGCATATATCAAATCATAGGAACTGTCATCTCAAAACTGGGAAAAATCCATATCATTCCCTTTAAGGATGAACGGGCGCTTATAAAGGAGCCCCTTAGAGGAGAGCACACGGCGGAGAGCTGCAAGGAGTAAGAGTTCAACTCGCTCAAGACAATTATAGGGACCTGAATCAAAGTACTTGATGAAGTGGAGACCAACACGAAGAGTGCCACAACCAACCTCCAATAAAAGATCAGAGGGGAGCGAAATGGCAGAAGCAAGGAACGCGAAGACGTCACGACCACCAGCCCAGGGCTACCCGCAGTTACTGTGGTGCTCCTCCACTAGCAGCTCTCCCGGGTAAGGAAGAGCTGTGTGAATGTTACCAGCATCCTTGCAGTGTGAAATGCCCTTGAATCTAAAAACAGAAGAACGGAGCCCTTGAATCTAAAAACTTGCTAAACAGATACGAAAGATGCCAAAAAGCTAATAGGCTTGAGAAAGCGATTTGCAAGGAAAACAAAGAAAATAACATGAAAATTTGATTATCTCAAGAGATCCTCCAGCTGTTGTTCGCGAGTACGGTGATTGATGCCTTTGCAAAGCGTAAATGTGGGGTTTTGGAATCTCATTTTACACTCCTTCTGAATTCGTACCATATTTCATAATGATTAAATAATAAACTATCATGAGTGTGATTTCCAACATACTCCAAACCTATCTCCTCAAGTTTCATGGGGCATTCCTTCTTAATCCTTGAACAGAACTTGATGTTGTGAGAAATAAAGATCCTCCCCTTCATTGGTTTCAGCTTCAACGCCAACCTCTCCAAACCCACCCACACTAGATGATCAGGAATGTGAAGAAAAACCGCACTGGCATATATCAAATCATAGGAACTGTCTTCTCCAAATCGGGAAAAATTCATATCATCCCCTTTAAGGATGAACGGGCGCTTATGAAGGAGCCCCTGCGAGGGTAGCTCATAGCGGAGAGCTGCAAGGAGTGAGAGTTCATCTCGCTCAAGGCAACTATAGTGACCTGAATCAAGGTACCGGATGAAGTGGAGACCGACACGAAGAGTGCCACAACCAACCTCCAATACAAGATCAGAGGGTTGGAGAGAAATGGCAGAAGCAAGGAACTCGAAGACGTCACGACCACCGGCCCAGGGCTCGCCGTAGTTACTGTGGTGCTCCTCCACTAGCAGCTCTCCCGGGCAAGGAAGAGCTGTGTGAATGTTCCCTGCATCCTCGTAGTGTGAAATGCCCTTGAATCTAAAAATAGAAGAACGGAACCCTTGAATCTAAAAACTTGCTAAACAGATTCGAGAGATGCCCAAAAGCTATGTTTGAGAAAGCGATTTACAAGGAAAACAAAGAAAAGAAACATAAAAAATTGATTACCTCAAGAGATCCTCGAGCTGCTGTTCGCGAGTGCGGGGATTGATGCCTTTGCGAAGTGAATGCCAGACGTGTGGGCTGTTGGAAGGATCTGGGAGTGAGTTACCGTGGATCTGAGCTCGGATCCATTTGATATCGTCCGACGAAGGAAAGATCTGTTCCGGCATCCGGTGGTCGTGGACCTTGGTGGGGACCGGGGATGAAGTAGGGCAGGAGGGGGAAGGGAAGAGGGAGGGGAGTAGGAGGAACAGGTTGAGCGCGGCTGAAGCAGAAGCGAATAGAAGCAGGGCGGATACTTTCGACGGAAACGCCATGCCCGGATCTGTAGACGCCGGTGGGCTTGAGGCGAAGCCGAAGGCGAAGACGTGCCCTGAGTCGAATTTATTTTTTGAGAAAATAGTTGAATTTATTGAAAAAAAATGAAAGTATTTAAAATATTTTAATTCACATATTTAAAAGTTAAAACCGTTGATTATCAACGTCGTATGCGCTAACAGAAGCCAATTTTTAATTAAAGTATAATTTAAATATAATTAAATTAAAATTTAATTAAAAAAAGTCCAAAAATGTAAACTAATTTATGTTTTCAGTGAAACTCAAATCCAATTTATATTTTAGCAAAAAAACTTTTTTTAGAAAATAATTTAATATACTATTATGAAAATAAAAAATAAGATTACTCGGGTTTTTAAAAACAAACAAAAAATCTTTAAATATTAAAATATAAAAAATTAAAAGAAAATTTCTCAATTTTAAAATAATTAAAATGCTAATGATACAAAAGAGCTTCAAAACAAAATTAAACTCAGTTTAATTTTTTTGGAAATTTTTATTCAAGATAAATATTTCTTCAATATATCACTATAATAATTTTTTATCTGAAACAAAGAATAAATTTAGAAATTAAAAACTATCACAATTTTATAATTAATTTTTAATTGGAATAGCAAAAAATATTTAGAATCAAAAGATTAAAATCTACATAAATCGAGATGGCTGACGACATTTGAATTACTCTATTTTTATATCTCTTCCATGAATACTGACATATGACGTGAATATGAATCATAGTTTCGTGACCAGTATCATTCAATTATAGTCCTCTGCCATATTGAATTATGTCAATTAGCGCCATCATTTACAGAATAGATGTGTGCTCCCGACATCAACTCAGTTCATGTTAGCGTTAGGCATTATGCTAAATTTCTTGTTCTTTAATCTCCCATTGTGAAAGGAGTTGGATCAAATAAACAAGTAAATGATCTCTTTAAAATAGCTCTCATGTAATAGTTCTATATTCTATACATTTGTTTGCTATATTGAATTAAACTTTTTCTTTGAAGGTGGCTACTGTTTATAACCGACAAAAATACTAATGAAATAATTTCAACTACATTAGAACACATGATTTTTCCCTTTGCCCAAATATTTTACATGAAAACACATGTCTCTTAAATTTCTTGCACCTCTCTTTTATATGTTTTGGATTTTCGTGCAAGTACTAAGTTAATAAACTCTCTGACTTTACTGCTACGAATATTTTGGCACAACAATTACAAGAATTATTCTATATAGCATTAAATAAAACAAGGTACAGTTTATACATAATGTTATCTAAATTGCTTTACATTCAAATGACTTTGCCATCAATGAGCCAAATAGATTTCATTTAAAGGGTAACTATTGCGTTATAATTTGCAGCCAAATATTGAAATGCAAGAACTAATTAACAATAAAAAGCTTTCATAAGTTCTCTGACTTCGGTAGTGAAAATCTTTCAAAGAAGTGTGAAATTCTAAATCATGGCATTTGGATTATTATCGTAAATAAATGAAATTCTAGAAAAAGCCTTTTAAAGTGTTTTATGGGAAAATGAGAATATAAAAAGGATCAGTAAAATTGTTGAGATTCTTGAGAGGAAGAAGAAGCTCCTGCCTCCTTGAGCTTTCATGGATGAGAGAGAGAGAGAGAGAGAGAGAGAGAGAGAGAGAGAAGGGAGGGGATTTTTGGAGGAAATAAAATTAAGCTTTATTTAATTTTTTTTCCCATCAAACACATACAAACCACCCATACTTATAGTAAAACAATTAGATGGGAAAAATATTAAAATCTAAACTTAAACACTTAAATTTATATCAAATATTAACAATCTCCACATTGATCTAAATTTAAAATATCTAAACAGAAAAAACTGAAAGAGAGCTCCTTGTTTGGACCTAGAGTTGCTTCCATCAGGAACTGCATCGAAGAAATGGCCCTCTAGGTTGCACACGTGCAACCCTTAGCCTTCGGTACGCCTGTCCAACCCGTGGTTCCAACCCGAGGCTCCACCCCCTTCCGATCACGACCCCAAAGCCCATAGAGTGGCTTGCGTGCCCTGCACAGTGTCGACTCACACCCTGCACAACGCCTGCCCATGCCCTACACACCTCCCTCAATTTGCACGTCTGTAATTCTGCTTGCCTCGATTTCACTCATCTTCATCGAGCACTCTTGCATACTCTGACCAACATCCCAGATCTTGTTTCCACGATCACATCTTATTTTTTTCTCTCTCCACTGTCGGTCTCTATCCCTTCTTCTCAACCAAGACCTTCAAGAACATCATCTCAAGTTGAAGAACCTGTTTTCAGCCACTATGTCATTGCAAGGCCCACACTGACCGCATTACACGATCTATGATTGCCCTACTAGGCCTTCTCCACATGCAGCCTAACCTAAGATCTAACAACTTGTTCGTCTGCCACAACCTTGTGATTCACCTGATTGTTGTGCGCCACGGTTCGTCCACAAGAAGCGATCCAGTGGTCCTGCTCCCTGCACATCTGCTCACGTATTATTCTTCCAGATCCCGCATGAACTGCACGTGGCCCGGCTAGCCCACCTCATGGTCTGATTCCAGCCTCTGCTCCGGACCAACGTGCCCACTCATCACACGCCCTGCACCCCACGTTCTGCCTGCAGGGGCGGAGCTTTCAATGGGGGCACAAATTAGTACTTGTTATTAAATTACTCTCAAAATATCAATTTTCTTTTATGTAATCGTAAATCTTGAGATATATTTATAATAAAATTATAAAAAATACAACCAAAATTTTATTTGATTTCATTAAAAGAATAGATATATCATTTTCTATCATATTATTCATAAAGAAATTAATATTTTTTTCCATTACAATGTTAATGAATTAAGTTCAAACCAATTAATCTTATACTTATTTGAATTTATTGAAACAAATCTTAATTTTAAATTATATTTAGATTAATTGTATTTAAATTATAAGATAATATTCTACATAATTCTAAATTAATTGTTTATTAAATTAATTTAACATAATGATTCACATTTTGTTAAAGAAAATAATAAATAATCTTCACAGAGCGGTATTTCTCATTTTTGCAAAGCAATACCTAGCAAATACCGAGCAATACCGAGAAAATCGCGAACATAGCATTCCCGGGTTCCGCTCCGGGTCAAGTCGTCGGGCCGCGCGGTAAAGAGTAAGAGCACGTGGCGACATGTTATTGGCGGTCGAACGTACCTCTATGTCAGGTCAGAGGACGTAATAATTGTTCGTAATGAGGGCGTTAATTTTGGGTAGATAGAAAGTAAGAGAGAGAGAGAGAGCAAGATAGAGGGGAAAATAAATAAGAGAGAGAGAACACGTAAATTTCAATCAATACCGCAATTGGGGTGGTAAAAAAATTGAAACAAAGAGAGAGGCTGATAGCTTAGTCTTAGAAATTAAATTTAATCTTTATATATTAATTAATATATCAATATAAACTTAAATGGGCAGATTATAATTGTTGGGCTAGTGGGGGCCCATTCCCCCAGGGCCCCCACTGTAGATCCGCCCATGCTGCCCGCGTCATCCCGCGAGTCCAGGCTATTTTGCACCTCAGGCAGGCCTATGTCCGCTCAAGCCGCCTGCAACACTTACCACACCTCTTGATTGGGGCACACTCACATTTTGTGCGTCAGCCACAATCCAAACCAAGCTTGTAATCATGTTCGCCCCGCACGCACGGCCGTGTGAATGAGGCTTCATGCCGCATGTTAGGTCCGACCTTTTGTACCAACATGCACCGATTTTGCCTGCCACACGATTGCTTCCGACAACGGATCTCCTGCACAAGCTTCACCCTTTTCTTGACTTCAAGAAGCTTCCTCCACCTCCACCTATCTTTAATACTAGTTTGTTGGGATATTTAGGAGGAAGAAGATGCTCCTTTAGCTTTCTTGGATGAGAGGGAGAGGGAGAGGGAGAGGGAGAGGGAGAGAAGGGAGAGAAGAGTTTTGGAGGAATTAAAACTAAGCTTTACTTATTTTTTTCACCGTCAAACACATACAAGTCACCCCTACTTTTAATAAAATAATTAGAGGAGCAAAACAATAAAATCTAAACTTAAACACTTAAATCTTGATGAAATATCAACGATTTTTTTAACTTATACACTTAAATCCAGATCAAATATCAACATAAACCATGAAATATTTCTTTGACTCCACTTTATAAACTCATTCAACTCATATATTGATTCACATTCTTGAATATTTATTTTCTCATTTGATATTTAAAAGCATAAATTTATTCATTTTCTTGCAAAAAATAAAAATAAAAAAATAAAAACATTGACTGTTGAAAGAATGAGTAATTTCATGATCAATTTTATGCCATTAATTTGCTTAAAAAACACACATTATGACCCATTCAAACAATAAATAAAAATTAACATGAGAATCAAAAGATAATATCTTTTTTTCAAGCTCTACCCTAAATTCATTATCTAAGACAAATATCATTAGGATTTCATTTGGAATAATTTTCTTGCTACTTTTTAATACTGTTTTCTAGTGCAAAATTTTTTAAAAAATAATGATCAATAACTATCCTAAATAAAACATAAGCCAAATGATTGTTAGTTAAAATCCAAAATGAGCATTGAATCAAATAAATTTGTTCTAATATTATAATTCAGATCATAAATAAAAGACAAGCTTTAGCCTACTGCCAAAGCAGCATTAAGCTTTATTTGGGATTATTTTTCTTATTGTTTCTTAAAATAAATTTTTAATATAAAAATTTTAATTTTTTACTTGAAAAAATAATTTAAAAATTAGTAAAAAATAGTCCAAAACAAACGCTTAATTTTCTCGCCAAAGTATTCTCAACGTTTTATCTCTTGTTATAATTTGCTACTCCTGCAAGTTATCATATCCATAAAAGTGGTTCAAACTCTAAGGCCAAGAGGGAACAACAAAGGCCAGCACATGAGAGCGCAAGTTTTTAGAAGAGATAGCCAATATAAAGAATGGCTCAACCTCAGCATAATTAAACAAGGGTATGTCTGGGATAGTCATAGTTTTATAAAGTTTATTAAAAATTTATTGTGGTGAAAATAATTTAAATATTTATTGTTACAAAAAACACCCCCCCTTTTCAAAATAATTCTAAAAAATTATTTAATAATAATTAAAAAATAATAGCTAATAAAATTATGATTTTTTTTTTTTAAACAAAATACGAGAAGTTGTCTCATACGACCAAAATCAAGTGTAGTTAAAATTAAGATTTCTCTTTTAAATTTTTGGTAAGACTCTTTTTTGGGTTAACTCCTAATCAGCATTTTAATAACCGAATAAATTTAGATAAATAATATTGACTTATAAGCTAATTTATCTGTTTCTTGATTTGTAGTTTATTATTGAAACTATGCATTAGTGATTGCATTATATAGTTATTTGTCCTGTTTTTCCTTTTATATTATTTATGATAATTTGTGACGATAAAGTAGGATATGCCGTTTTCAAGTTATCAAAGTTATAGATTGAGTAAGGAAGCTTGAGTTATGAATTATTACGTTCGGTGAACTGGACGTATCGGAACATCCAATCCAGACGCGCCACGTCATCAAAATACATTGGGACCCGGTGTATTTTGATGATGTGGCACGTCTGGATTGGTGTCCGGACAAATTCTGACACCGGACGTAATAATTTGCCCTTGAATAGGGCTAGTCAAGATCAACTATCGGCATAGTTGCTTTACAAGTAAAAGTAATTTGCAAGTTATCTTTCTACGATTGTACTTTCTTAAAAATTTCTAAAAAGGGGAAAAATTGTCGGGATATTGTCCAGTTTAAATGAATCCACTAGTATTTGTAGTTGATTTCAAATGAGACCCTAATGAATCTACCTGAAAGAACACATTGACTTGATGTAGCAAATATACATCATATATATAGTGTGCATTACATGGTGGGAGTTGGACAAAAAATGTATACATGCTCATTTGGTCGGCATGACCATAGTTGGTGAGCCATGTAGGTTGGAAGGACTGCAGTCGGGCGACAGAGGTTAGAAAGATTATAGTCGGGCGTTCATGGTCGGAAGAATCATAGTTGGCAAGCGATGTAGGTCGGAAAGACCATTGTCAGGTGACGGTGGTTGGAATGACTGTAGTCAGACGACGACGATAGCGGAGATTATAGTTGGGAGATGGTGGTCGAATAGACAGTAGTCGGCGGGCGACGGAGGTCAGAAAAACTATAGTCGGGTGACGGATGTCGGAAGGGCCGTAGTTGGCGGGCGACGAATGTCAGAAAGACCATAATCGGGTGATGGTGATAGAAAGGATTGTAGTCAGCATATGACATAAGTCAAAAAGATCGAGTCAGTGACGATGGTTAGAAGGATCATAGTCGGTGGGCGATAGAGGTCGGAAAGACAGTTCTCTGGCGATGGAGGTCAGAAGAACTGTAGTCGGTGGGCGACGTTGGTCAGAATGTTTGTAGTCGGGCGATGGAGATCGAAAAGAATGTAGTCAACAATGGTGGTTGAGAGGAAATCCAACGACAATCGGTGGTCAGGCGTAAGTCCGACGACACTTGGTGGCTAGGCGGAAGTCTGACAAAAGTCCAACGACAGTCGGTGGTTGGGCATAAATCTGACATAAGTTGTTTTTTGGGCATAATTCCAGGAATAGTTGGTGCCCGGGGGGAAGTCTAGCGAAAGTTCGGCGAAAGTCAGTGGCTTGGCGTAAATCCGAGGTTAGTTGGTGGCAGGGCAAAAATCCAGCAATAATCGGTGACCCAATGTAAATCAGCATCGGTTTGTGTCCAGGCATAAATCCGACAATAGTTGGTGGCCAGACAAAAGTCCGACAACAATAGGTGTCTAGGCGTAAATCCGTCGACAATTGGTGGGAGGACGAAAGTTTGGCGAAAGTCTGGAGACAATAAGTGACTAGGTGGTGCTTGAGGAGGAGCTCGATGGCAAGAGAGACATCAAATTTCTCTTCCTCTCCTCTCTTCTTTCCCTTCCTGCCATCCTTCCTCCTTGCTTCCTCCCCCTCATATGAAGAATCAGGGGCTATTTATAGTTTGTTGGGAATGATATGATCAATAAATAAGGAGAAGATTAAGGGAAGTTGGGAGTGTTTCGAATAAACGGACGATATCAGCTCCTCTGATCGTAGATTGTTTATCGAGTATTTAAATGTCTTAAAGATGTTAGAAATCGACAATGTTGGGCTCGTAAGATTCAACTCATCGAGCCTCTCGATTCAACTATAAGCATGCACTTTTGAAAATCATTTGATTACCCAATATTTGGTTTGAACCTTCCAAATGTGCTTCAGGTCATTGATTTGAATCCATTTGGCCTCGAATTGGGTCAAATTTAGTGTCGTTGTGTTTCTCTTTTCGAGACGTTTAGTTTGACTATAAGTTTGTTGAAATCGGAGTTCATATAGTCTCCAATTTGAATTTGGAAGCTTTCAATGTGAATTTGCCTCAACATTCGTGCTCGATCAAGATAATTTTTTGATGATATATCACTAAGAAAATTCTGGACTCAGAATGGGTAAATGAACTCTTGGGAAACACAAAATTAAGTCACTCCATGGTTGCCGAGATTATAAGAAATCATTATGTGTGGAGGTTGGATGCTGCTCTACGTTCGGAGGCAAATTAAGTGCAACCACATCAGCAGTACTGAACCGTGATAATAAGTGGTACCGAGCAGTACCGACCCATATTGAACTTCAAAAGGGAATAAGACTGACAAACATTCTCCAAGAAGCTGAATAAAATTAAACAGAGTTCTTTTATTCATGAATTACTTAATATGGGTTTGTCGAAGTAGGTTCCATCATAGAGGATTGTCTTTAAGTTTTGACAATATGAAGAATTCAATCTGAGTTATCAAATCAAATGAAGGAAGATTGAATTCTTTTAAATTATGAGAAACTGCCAACTTAGATCGAAAGAAATTTGTCTAACATATCAAATGAAAACTATTGGTAAATCTTTAAACAAGATAAAACTAAGCAACTCGCCCAGCTTTTGAGCAGAGCTTGGCCTTTTTATTTCTTATTATTTCTTAGAATTTTCTAATTTAACCTTAATATTGTCACTACTTCCTCTAAGATACTACATCGAGCACCGTTAGTTGCATTGTCATTCTTTCAAGCCACAATCAGACAAAATTATTGAATACACTTCTATTGTTCTTTGCATGCTGCTTAATTTGATTTAGGTTTTATTTGAGACAATTATTTTTTATTTTATTTGGTCATTATTTTTTCACTTTTTTTATTAATTTTTTATAATAGAAAACTGTTTTCTACAACTTAAAAAAAATAATTTCTACGCAACAGTTTTATAATCATTCTTATAAAAAACTACATCTTTCCAAATAGACTCTTAATATGATATTTATTTGTAATTAAATCTAAGCTAAGCTGATTTGTAAATAAATAATAAAATTAATCAATGAGTATTAAAAAGATATGGAGAGCAATCCTTGCAGCTCGATTTTTTTTTTTTTGAGAAATCAAGAGTAGCGCCTAAATACACATATAACTGATATATGAGATCTGAATCCAAAATTTCTTAGTTGGGAGCAAAACTCCTAATCATCCAACCAAAAAGAGTTGTGTAGCTTTTTTGACTTAAAAAAATTATAATATTCACAAGAAATATGACTCATATTTATGATTTTAAAAGTATAACTTTCTACTCCATTGGGCAATGAACCTTTTAATAAAATTTTTATTTCAAAACAATCTGATTGCCTTTAAGATGCGAGCAAGGCCACTTGCAATTAGATTTTTAATTTCATTCAGTAAATAATTTTTTTTAATTAATTAATTAATCAAATGATGTTTAAATATGGTACAACCCATGATCATTATATTGAAATGTTAAAATAATCCTAGAAAAAATATCACTAATATAAATAATGACAGTATCTTTGCATTTGTATTAAACAAAATAAAAGAAAAACACAAATAACATCTTTTATTTTCTCTTATCTTTTTAATCCAAGTAATATCTTTCTTCTTTTATCTTCTTAATCTTATTTAGTTTTAAAACCTTTCCCATTATAAATATTTGCACCAATGAAATGTGTACTATTCCAATATTCCTTGCACATTAACATGTAGTGCTATTAGAAATGAAAAAAAAAAAACAAAGAAATCTTAAAAATTCCATCCCAAGCTTGAAAAGATTTGAATTTTAAGTTACCAAACGGTCAAAATGATGCAAATTGACACTACCTATACATACTCTCAATACAATACGGGCAGCAAAAGCATTGGAGATTTCCAGTTCAAACTTCCTTCTAACAAGTACATCCAAATCTCCTACTCGAACAGAGTAGAAGCCAGAGGCCTAGGATAAGCGACCTTCGCACTCGCACTATCTTCCAAGCTTCTCATTCTGGGTCTTTGCGATCCACTTCCGAAGCTCTGAGCATGGATCTTCTGCTCCACTTGGTTTTTCTTCCCTCCATTCTTAATCTCCAGAAGCTGCTCGAGAACAGAAACCACCTCCTCCATGCTCGGCCTTAACCTCCCTTCAGTTAACAAGCACTGGAAGGCAAGAGAGGCTGCTTTCTGAGCTCCTTCAATTGAATACTGTCCTTCAAGCCTGCTGTCCAAGACTCGGAAGATCTTTCGTTTATTTGTGAGGTAGGGTCTTGCCCATTCCACCAGATTGTGCTCTCCGGTAGGCCTGTTCTTGTCAATGGCACGCCTGCCTGATAACATCTCAAGGAGGACGACACCGAAGCTGTACACATCGCTCTTCGTGGTGAGATGACCTAATAAAGAGAATATTTCAATCAGAATGTGACCAATTTCAACTTTATACAATCATCATTGAATTTCATAAATTATTTGAGATATTAAATCTATTTTATATAAATTGTTTTTTTTTTCATAAATTTTAATGTCTAAATCTTCTCCTTCAAAGGCCAATCACTTGTTATTTCTATACTAATTTTATGCAAACCCAACCAGCTAAATTTATGCTTTACTATCTTATTTCACTGTATTATCTTCAATAAATACAATCCAAAAAATACTTTCACATATTCAAATTTTCTTATCCTTGTCATTATATCATAAATTTATCTTAATATTCTCACGCCACACTCAAATCCATGAAATAAAATAAATCAAATCATAACTTCATAACATGTTCAAGATCAGTATCTCCTATTGCAAATTAATGGCAACTCTGCGTCTAGACGCCGAATGCAGCTCTACGTCTGGAGGCAAATGAGGTGCAATCACGTCAGCGGTACCGAGCAGTACCGAGCCCCGGTACCGAGCTAAGAGGTGACGTGGCGTATTCTGATTGATCTCCGAACGGCATTCGGCGTCCGCATAGAATAATTTTTCTTCTAAATGATGGCACCCTAAAGGAGCTTTGTCACAACCAAAACTCTGACCAAACGACTCAATGACACATGAAAAATGCATGAGATCCCAACCACCTGCACCGCTTCATAGCTTTCCTATTGCAGATTAACGGCAGGTGGCCCATAAGCAATTGGGATTTCAATGCTCACATGACAGATGAAGTCCATTTAGGTACAAACAGAATTGACAAGTGAGGTCATTGAAGACGTCAAGCTTAGAACCACAAATGCTGGTTCATGCCCCACTTGCGTTCATCTAATTCACCTAAACAAATCTCAATTAGTTGAGTTTGACAATTTTGCTTGCAATAGGATTAGTGGGCCTTGGATGACAAAGACATAAGGGAAACAAAGCACATGTTAAGCTCTTAATAATCTTAGATTTAGGCTTCGTTTGGGATGGCTTTCTTGTTGCTTCTTAAAACAACTTTTTAATACAAAAGTATAAATTTTTGTACTCGAAAGCTACTTTAAGAAGCAGTAAAAAGCCGTCCCAAATGCAGCCTTACCCACAAAATCACCGTTGCCATAAGTATTTACCAGCATCAAACTGGTATGCGCCCAACATTAGAAACTCTTTCTCTTTCTATATAGTATTAGCTTTTAAATATAGCAATAAAAAAAAAGTGGTGCTTAGCTGAAAAAGATTTGATACATTGGGCTTCGTAAGGCATTATTTTGCTCCCTTTTTTGATGAACCGGTGGATGTTGATGTCCTCCACTACATAATGTGTATTTAATGAAGCCTTTATAGCTAGCCCTATACATCTCCAGATTGTTACCATGAATTATAAAGAAATATTTACATTTATAAGGTTTTAATCTTTCCACTTGACTCATTAATCTTTTTTGTTTGGTTTCTTAACCCAACGCTTTCTTATTTACACTGCAAATTAATGTAGTAATTCTAAAACAAAATATAGAGAATTCACAAACAAAAAATTAGATTGAAGTACTAAAACAACAATCACAACATGGCCGAACTAGTTAAAAAAACATAAGCGCAAGAGGAAAATGATGAACAAGAACAAAACAAACAGAAATAAAAAATCTTGCTAACAAGTAACAAAATACCTGTTGCAAGATATTCAGGAGCAGCATATCCATATGTTCCCATTACCCTAGTGGAAACATGACTCTTATCACCTGTAGGTCCATCTTTTGCCAATCCAAAGTCAGAAAGCTTAGCACTGTAGTTCTGTTGAAAACATAGAGTGAAACAAGTTAGTAAAGTGAATTGAAATTTTTTTTTTATTATTTTTTACTAAAAAGCTGCTTTAAGAAGCAATAACAAAGCAATTTCAAACGAAATCATAATATAACTCTTATTAACGAAAATGAGGTGGTAATGGTCAGTTTTAACAAAGTGGTTGGAATAACATTACATACTGAATCCAGAAGCACATTGGAAGTCTTAAAATCACGATAAATGACTTTAGTTTCAGCACTGTGGAGAAAAGCCAATCCTCTTGCTGCCCCAAGTGCGACTTTCATTCTCAGATTCCAGGAAAGTGGTTGAAAATATGAACCTCCTGAATAGTTTTAGATTTTTTTTTTCAGACAATTATTCAACTTCTTAACTTGACAACAGAACTTCTAATAAAATATGACAAAAATAAAAAATACATTTCCTTCCACATCACATATAATCCAGATGAAACAAGTAACCGTTAGGATACATGAAACTGATGAAAGAATAAGCTTACTCCTGAAGAGATGGTTTTCAAGGCTCCCTCGAGGCATGAATTCATAAACCAGAAGCCGATGCTCATCCTCTAAGCAGTATCCAATCAGCTTTACAAGATTGGGGTGATGTAGCTGTCCAAGATAATTGACTTCGGCCTATAAATTTTGGAATAAGAAAATTTTAGTTCTGTTTTAAACTTTTAATGCTGTAATGATATCATAGAACATGATCATAAATAGATAAAAAATTCGATACAAGAATACTAACCAACCATTCCCTATGCCCCTGAAAACCATCCTGGTTGAGCCTCTTTACAGCAATAACTATCCCAGCACCTGGTTTTGTTGCCTCGAGCGTTTTCTCATTGATCCAGCCCTTAAAAACAGAACCAAAACCTCCTTCTCCTAACACACTATCAGGGCGAAAGTTTCTGGTGGCGCTTTTGAGTTCACTGAACGAAAAGCTTTTCACATTTGTAGACTGTAGAATTTCTCCCTCACTACGTGGGGTAATAGGCACAGAAGATGAGGAAGCATAACTGCTGTTGCTGTTGCTGCTGCTGCTGCTGCTTAATCCATTTCCACTCTTACTGCTAATCTTTGAGTTAGCACCTGAAAGAACAAAACATATAGAATTAAACATCAAAGAAAAAGGAAATCAAGCTGCACATGCAAAATTTAACTAAATAAGTAGGTTTCACTTAGGCCATTGAAGAAATTTAGATTATCGTGAGAGTACATAAGAAAATACATTCAACCTTCATATCAATGAAATGAGGCAGGATTTTTCCCTATTGTACTAATCATTGAAAAGATTAAAAAAAAAAGTTGTCCTATCAGAAGCAGTATGGTTTTTTGCATACATCATAGGAAAAAAACTTGCTGGATTAAGAGAAATTGAAAAAGGTAACAACCAACAGAAAGATATCATCATTCAAATTTAACCTGATCTGATTGGAAATTGAAGAAATGAAAGGAAAAGACCACAAACTATGATAGAAACAAAAATAACTCATGATACAGAAAACCTAACATTCGAACGCCCTCTCTCCATGTTTTAATATCAACTACTTATCTAATCCTTGCATCTACTCATCGAAAACTAAAATTTATTCACACAGTATAAGAAGAATACCTGTGCTCGCGGCCAACGTAGAAGCGCTGTACGATGGAGCGACGCCCTTGAACCTCGTGCTCCAGCAGTTTCCCATCACAAAGTCTTCAAAATTCCACCTTTCTTTCTTTTCCCGACCCCTTTACCCCACTAAAGGAAAAAAAATCGAAGAAAAACAAAAGATTGGGGGCTTTTTTTTGGGAAAAAAGTTGGGGCTTTTCAAAACAATCGCGCAGGAAACCAGTGACAGCCGTGAGAAAGCAGCAAAGTAACCAGATCCGCTAGAACCACAGAATCCACCGAGGAATCCAGCTGAGCTTTCCTACTCCAAGCTCAGCGACTCATTTAAAAACGCCAAGAACCGACTCGCGCGGCCAATTTCACCGAGATTGCGCCGCTTATTTTCTCGCTGCGTTTTCGATTTAATTAGAAAACGAAAATAAATCAACTAACAGTGGAAAATAGTGAATTGGAAGTAGAAGCCATGGTTGGGCGGCTTTCCACTTTTCGGAACCTCCTGAGAGACTTCGGAGCAAAAGAGAAAGTAGATAAACAATTAGAGCGTCCGCTTCTATGAACCAGTCTCTCGTTTAACCATGTGGCGACCTTTTCCACGTGGTGGAAAATGCTAATTGATTATGAAAAAAACATAAATTAATTGTTTAATCTGCACATATATCTTTTTTTTTTTTAAAAGGAGGGCGTATTTAGCTGCACTGTTTCCGTGGGGGCGACCAATCGATCCTCGCCATCGGTCTTGATCAGTCGGAAAGCGTAACCAGCACCGAGACATCGGACCGTGGAAACGGGGCCCGCGGTTGCGGCGCCGGCACGGGTTAGTTGATTTGATGACACGTATTGGAACCGTACAATCTCGATGGACGTGAGACGGGCTGGAATGACGAGTCGGCACGGGAGGAATGTGAACTGGCGAGGACCGGACCGGCTGAGGGGTTCGGTTCGCAGAGGTCCTCATCAAAATATATAGAGCAAATTGTGTATATATAACTTTAAATCTACAATTAATTTATTTTTCAAACGATACTAAGATTTCATCTGAGACGCTTTCTTATAAGTATATTTTTAAATCTTAATTCTAATTTTTATTTGATCATTATATTTTTTTTTTTATAATTTTTAATAATTTTTTATATTTGAAAATATCTTTGCACAATGAATTTTAAAAAATTAATTTTTTTCATTTTATAATCATTTTTATGAAAAACTGTTGCTAATACAAATAAATTTTAAAAATATATTTGAGATGACTGCATAATTTGATAACATTGATTGTAAAGTTGTTATTGGCTTAATGGCTTGCTTTTTTATTACAAATTATAATGACTATTTATAAAAATAATAATAATAATAATAAATTTTTATAAATTTGTAATTGTAGCACAATAGCAAAATAATAATAATAATAATAATAATAATAATAATAATAATAATAATAATAATAATAATAATAATAATAATAATAATAATAATAATAATAATAATAATAAACAAGATAGTAATAGGTAGCACAAGTGGCTACTTGAGAACCTAACTCAAGAAAGGACAATCAACAAATCTTGGACCAATCACAAAAAACTCCACCTTTATCCATATTTACAAAATATTTGAGTCACTTCATATGACTCCATTTGTTGTCTGAGCTAAGTTGGCGTCATTTTTGGCTCTTGCTCATTTCCACTTCAACAAATATGGGCAATTTCTCTTGAAATGCTCTTCTCTATGGTAGTAGAAACATTTCTTATTGTAATTGTGCATTTCTCTTGCTATCAGCCAATAATTTTTTCTTTATCTTCATTCCTACTCTGAACTTGTTTGAACACCAACACTGATTTTACATTAGTCATGGTCAACATCTGTTTTCCATGTTACTGCATCAACTATATTTTCATATGACTTTCGCAAAGAACTTAGGAGGATAATATTTTGATCTTCTTGCTCAATTCTTACATCTACATTCTTAAGATCAAGGATAATTTGTTAAATTCATATATGTATTTTTTTTCAATCTTTACCTTCATCCATATACAATCCATATAGAGCTTTCTTTAGATATAATTGATAGGCCAACAACCTCTTCAAGTATAAAGATTCCTCTTTCTCCTAGATTTCTATGACATAATCCTCTTCAGCAACTTCCCTCAAAACTTCATCACTGAGCAATAGCAGAATTGCACTATGAGCCTTTAATTGGATTTGCCTAGCCCTTCTCTTTTCAGTTACTGTAGCATGGTCTTCTATAGAAATCGCCTCAGAAGTTCCTTGATGAACAAGGAGGGCTTCATTTTGATTTGCCATAAGCCAAAATCATTTTCAATAGTAAACTTATCAATTTTAAATTTTTGCATCGACATGGTCAAGAACTTGTAGCAAGAATTCTGTCTGCCATACGAATCAATGAGAATGAACAACACCGGGGCAGAAAAACTATAGCTTCGCTCTTGTTCACTTCTAAAACCTTTACCTGCATGACTTTAACTCAAATTGTATGCTTCACCTTATATGAACAGACCGAGCTCGTGCTCAATTTCCCCGTGCATCCTCCTTGTGCACGTCTATAACCAGCCTTGTGCGTTACAACTCATTCATGATCTGTTCACAACCTGCGGCTTCCCCTCCCACACTGCATCTCATGAGGACAATCTGTGTCGCGCCTAGCTATCCCTCTACCCAGTTATCCCACACACTTAACACTACTCTTGTACTTTATGCTCCCATGCCCATGCTCTTTGCTCACCGCAAGCATGTTCCCCCTCTTCGCCCTTCGCACACACCCCGTACACCTTTGCCAGTATGAACCTTGTGCCCTACGAACCCTACGTCCTTTCGCGTGCCCCACGCTCCCGTATAGCCTCCCATGCCTTATGCTCTCGCTTGCTCCACCCACACATGTCTGCCGGTTGGATTCTTCGCTTCACCCTAACAGTGACACTAGGCCTCTTGCGCTTGGAGCCCTACACTCGTGAACAAGCTATGTCGAATCTTGCACGACCAACACCTAAACTTGTGAAGCACAACTCGACTCCGATTAGTCTCTGTAATAGCATGTATTTTGATACTGTCAAATATTTTTTTTTTTGAGTCAATATAAGTCTAAATCACAAATCATCTCCTCCATAACATTAATATTGTAGTGTTTTAATTACACATTTTTTAATAATTTTTGGACATTGGTGAAAATCTAGTAGGAATTGACAACGATCGATTTAAGCGGGGATTCTCAGACCATCAGTTGTTCGTTTTGCAAACTAATTTCATCAATACTTTTTAAATAAAAAAATTATTTTATAAATATTTTTCTATAATTTTAAATCCCCAAAAAGATTTATGTAAATTTTATATTAAAATTTTGATTAAATTAAATAATTATATTAATGCTTTTATTTGTTTTTTTTTTGTAGCCAGAAAGTTTGTGATAGATTAGTGATTGTGCTGATCTCTTGCTATTGTATATTGATTTTAGGAGAAAGAAAATAGTTCAATATTTTGAGATACGTAATAACTAGTTGTTTTCATTGGATATACAAATTTATAATTTAGAAGCTTTGTTTTTTCAATTAAAAAGATAAAATAGATAATTCTTTCAAATTTGATTATGGGGCATTACAGTCTCCGCCTGAGACCTCCCTACCACTTATGAGTTGTTTTTTTAGACAAAAAAAATTCAGTTATAGGATCTTCTCTTAGAGAGGAAGAAGCTCTTCCTCTTCAGCATCTAGAGAGAGAGAGAGCTTAAAACTGAATAGATTTATTGCTTAACTGCATGCTTCTTTATTACAAACTATAGTGACTATTTATAAACTTCTAATTGTATCACAAATAAAAAAAAAAAACTAAAAAAAGATACTAATGTTAGCACACGATCGAGGCTACTCAAGAAAGTACAATCAACAACTTTTAGACCAATCACAACAAAACATTTAAATTTAGATGGATAAAGATATAGATATTTAACGACTATATATCTATAAATTCCCCAAATAAGAAAAGTCACAAGCATCCAAAGGTACATAGCCTTCATTTATAATTGGATGCAACTTGCAATGAGGACTCATTTCACTTGTATGGGCATAACTTTATTGATCTTACATCAATTTTAGTCCCATTTAAAAGGAGAGTTTAATATCTCTAATCTTAAATAAATTATGAGCATCTTCAGATGAAGCAAAGAAGAAATTCTTAGAAATTTATTAATAATATATTTTTAAACACATAATCAAGATAATCATCATCCATTATAATATTAGTTGTGAAAAAAAAATATATATAATAATAAGATACGAGGGAGAAGGAATTGACCAAGGCATGATCGAGAAGTTCACAACAGTGGAGCATTTCAATCATAAATAGTTAGCTACGGACATTCACATCTGTCCAACAATAGTGGTCAAGTAGAGGTTCTATGGCAACTGCTGGGTGATGAGGGTTCGCTAGCAATACTGATCAGGTAGAGCTTCAAGATTATTCAAAGCTCTTTTAAATCTCTAACCTAATGTCCAAAGTCCCTCTTATATGGAGAGTGAAGATCTATTTATAGATAGAGGTGCTAAAATCAGTTGACGGGTTTGGTTAGGCTTCGACACGAATCCAGTTAAGATTTAATTGAAACCTGATTCGTTTAATAAACATGTCAAAAAGACTACTCTCAAACCTGACCAACTTGCAGCCTGAATGACCTGAACACTACTTGTTTACCCATTTTGGTTAAAAAATACAACTTATTAATTATAAAATTTATGATATTTGATAAAAAAATAAGAAGATTGTATCCACAAGAAAAAAAAAAGCGAGTAAAGATATTAAACATGTCATTTTTGAGTGGAAAGCTAGTTCACGGGTGAACACACACCCAAGTCGTTTAATAAACATGTAAGAAAACTCAGCATGAATCTGATCCATTTATTAAACAGACAAGTGAAATCAAAATTTCGAGTCAAGTCATTTATTAACACCCTTATTTATAAATTTTGAGAGTGGAGTGTCCCATAAACATGGAGTGACATGAAACAAATATGGAGCACTCCATCATTTGAGATGTATTGATTTCCTTAATTATAGATAATTTCTTCAGCATTTAGGCATTCTAGAATCAAGTGATCAATCTTGTGCTCATTGAATTTGTCTCATCAAGCTGCTCGATTCAACAATAAACATGTACTATTTGGAGGTCATATGACCATCCAATCAATGTCTTGAATTATTTCAATTATGTTTTAGGTCTTTGATTTGGACTTATTTTGACCGTCTCATCGAGATGTTTAGTTCAACTACAAGCTTGTTGAAATCAGAATTCAAATGACCGTGAATTCTATTTTAAAATTCATATAAACGGTGAGTTTGTACTTAATAATTTTTTTTTTTTTGACGACGCATCAAAACTAAAGTAAATCTTTAAGTAAGTTGCCTTGGCCCAAAATCAAAATGATTTTCTTTAAACTGACTTAAATTAGGAACAAATTAGCCAATACTTATTTTGGAGAGAAGAAATTACCAAATTAAGAAATTTAATTAGAAATTAAAGCTGCCAATACCATTTTATTTCTCCAAC